TATATAGATATATATATTTATATATGTATATATATATGTATATATATATATATGTGTGTGTGCGTGTATGTGTAAATATACATATATTTAAGTCCACCTGGGCCGGTTTGTATAAATGTCTTATTGCAAATAGAGTAGAGCAATTTTATTGCAAACGCCTGATGCTCCAACGGCAAATGCTATAATATACCAGTTAAATACACGTCGAAAGTAAGCACATAAACTCAAAAGTATCAAATACAAGCTCAGTGCTCTGATACAGCTTACACAAACGCGATATCTTGTGGTGCGTGAAAATTGATACGTTTATGCTAGGAAACAACACTGCAGTATCAACGCACAGTAACCGGTATACCTCCTGACGTTCGCTTCCCCATTTGCAATTTTCCTCAGCTTTTTCTTTTTAAGTATTTTGATAGCCACTCGTGTTAGATTCTCTGTGTGTATGCCCTCTTTGACCTTTCCGTACGATCCTACACCACAAATAAAAGTCAAGTAAACATTTACATAGGAATACGAGCGAAATACAAGATTGCAGGGCGTGGACATGAAGGAAACGTGATACAAAATGTAAATGTTGGTGAAATTCCGTTTAGGCAAACTGGATACACGTTCGGTGGACATGAAGGAAACGTGATACAAAATATAAATGTTGGTGAAATTCCGTTTAGGCAAACTGGATATACGTTCGTACTCGGAGAGTCGCAAGACTATCACAGATGAATCACACGGGGAAATTTACTCACACCCAGAATAGATTCTAGGTCTAAAGCGAATGTTTGCCAGTCATGCATCATGCGATGCATATTTGCACAATATGGTGCAATTTTATTGAAAAAGACTACATTTGTGTGTAGTTCAATTACCTTGGTATGTATCGCGATGAGAATCAAGGCCTGTCAGGTGCACCTACAAGCCGACGAGTTTACTAAACAACGCCTCCTAGATGCATAAATTTTACTATATATATAAACATATGTTTGAAAGAAAACCGGCTCACCCAACTCACCTTCACCTAAGACATTGCCGAGAATGTAGCGGCCAACAATTTTCGGCACTTTCTTCTTCGGTTTGTAAAGCACTTGGGAGGAGCTCATTGTTTGGAATACAAACGAGTTTTCACTGTAAATATTACGTAAATAATATAGTTCAGATAAGTATGTGAAAGAAGGGAAGGACGTGAGCGGGCAATAGTCGAAATCTGACATCGAAACACTCATCATAGAAAAATGAGGCATATTTTTTAGGCCAGTCATTCCTTAATGCTATCGGCAACCAGATATTTCCCAAAGGGTAAAAAGAGTGAAGAAATACTAAAGTAGTGCAACTTTGCTATTCTTTTTAACGACAAATAGTGACCCATACAATTTGACTCAGATGCTGAACGCACATATATACGTGGGTGTATATGGCGTTCCACGAATATATATATACATACATACATATATATATA